CCATTTTTCTTTTTGGTTTTTCGAATGAATGATTGATTAAATCATTTCTATTCTTCATTATAATCGTTGTGCATCTCTCTTTTCTCCTTAAATACTTCTTGACAAGAAATGATCGGTGCATCAAACATGAACTTTGACGTCGAGAAATGCAACTTCAATCCGAACAACCACCAGGCGCTTCTGCATATCCCCATAGAAAAAGAATAGTTCCTGTTCGTTGCCCTCTTTCTGAAGAACAATGTTCTATGATATGCTCTTACCTTTTAACCAACCATGGTGAAAGATGTTTTAAAGCAGTTTTGGTTCACTGCTGAGGCTAAGTCTACCAAAGACTCATTGGGGAACACCACAACAAAGATCTCTTACTAGATCACCAACCATACCATGGACTTTGGGCCTGCAACCATCCATTCAACATTGTAGCTCCCAAAGTCTCTCCTTTTTCAAAAGACCCTGATAGTGAAGCTATCATCAACTTTCTTGACGATATTCACTACGACTGGCCACTGAAGAAGGATTCTGAATCTGAGATCAACAAGTTATTGACAAAGATTGAGAAGAATCGAATGTCTGTTGTCTGGCAGTATCATTTTTCCCATTTCATTTAGTGCATGGGTGGGAAAACTGGTAGCCAAGACCAAACTAGCCGAGTAGCGCTGAATATCGGCTACTCGGTTATCAGGAATAGAAATGCTGACTTTGCTTAGCCGATATTCGATGAACTGTAACTTAAGTTGAACAAACGACAAAGGGAAAAGGTTGTCCCTTACACAAGATTCCTGAGCGACATCATTGCATGGATGTTGAAGAAACAATACCCCACTTAGGATGATTTTACTCTCTATAGGCTTGGATCAAGGATCCTTGATCACAAGACCAAGACTACAGATGTTGGTCTATTCCCCACAATGATGACGATAGTCCATACTTCTTCTCTTCCTTCTTCATCTTCTTTAGCGACAACGACTTTGGTTCAGCCACCAAAGTTTACCCAAACTGCTACCTCCTCCTCCTCTCCAAAGAGGACAAAGTCTACTACCTCTCTTAATCCCTTAAAAAGGTTTAAAAAAACCACACAAGGAAAAACCTCTCAGCTAGGTGAGTCCTTTCAATAGGTATCATCTATCGAAATTGGCCCCCTCCCTAAAGCATATTATTAACCCTCAACAGGTTCTTCAGTTGCCGTCGTACCGATGGTACCTGGCCGAACCACCTCAGTGACTCAACTCACTGAGAGTGTAATTTTCAGCACTTCCACTACTACTCAGACTCGTTGCATACATTCATTGTCTCCTCACCACCTTTGTTGGTTTCGACAACACGTGATGATGAACCAATAGTGGTTGTCCCCACTATTGGTGTGGCCACCACCATAGGACATGAGGGAGATTCTCTCGAGATCCCTCAGCAACATGTAATTGATCCTCTCGACAACGCATTTGAGACATTCCGCCTCAGCGATAATCGTTCCGACACAAGTGAGGAACCCTCAGGTATAATGCATTTCCCTATCCTTTCTTTCTTAGTAACTAAGGCTTAACCTTCTAAAACTCAAAATTATTATGCTAACCTTGAGTTTTCAGGTCCTAGAGAGAATGAACCCCCAGTTACTAAGGCTAAAGCTTATGACATAGCTGGTGATGTCAAGTTACTCCTCCTTGTTGTAGCTATTGTCCTTGAGAGGATAGAAGAAGTCAAGCAATAGATTCCCTTAAAGGAAGACTTAGCACAAGACTTCTCTGTTGTCAAAGCTGAGTTTCTTTAAGCTAACTATGAGCTCACCAACGTGAAGACGAAGTCCAACAGAACTCCAACGCAATTGCTGATCTCTTTAAGAAGGCTAAGGAAATTCAAGTTCGGCTCACCTGAAAATGTGAGCTGCTTGAACTAAATTTTGTGCTTCTTCAACAACCAGCACCTATCCCTGAAGCTTCATTCAATAAGAATGACCGTCATCTGCTCGATATGGTGGCTGAGCTCCATCTTCAGCAAGGTAAATCCCTAATCTGCATCGAGCAAAAGTTGAACGAGATATCTCCTCAAATTCCTTCTTCTTTTGATGATGATAATGTGGGGGAGAAGGATAAAGTTGATGATGCTTCCAATGTCGATGTTGCCCTGATTCATGAAGAAAAGTTGCTAGCTAAAGTAGACTTTCTTCTTCAAAATTCAAGAGTCGAGGTTGTAGACCTTGAAAACCCTATACCTTCCACTTTTGCATTAACTAATGTTAGTGATGAAGAAAAGGATGATCCCTAAAACAGGAGCCGATCTTGGAGATGACGATGAAGATGACGATGATTCTTGCATCCAACCTATATCCAGACAACCATTCAAAGATATCTCCATCCAGGAGCCTTTGAACGAGGGGGAGAGATCTTCCCACAACCATCACTCCTATTCTGGCAAAGAAAAAGAAGTTGGTGAAGAGAACCTAGCCCTTTTACAAGGGGTGTTTAGCCTTCTAGAGGTAACAAACACCCTAGATCTTTTTGTTCCTTCTACCTCAGAAGCTTAACACATTAACCTCTTGCCTTTATCTTTTATTTCTCCTCTTCCTTCTATCTTACATTATCCTTCTATCTTACCTCCTCATTCTATCTTAACTCCTCCAACCAAGTCTTTCTCCTCTCTGACCTCTCCCAGCCCCTCAACCCAACCTTCTACAGCTAAATTCCTGCCAATCTTCTTATTCGAGTCAGATGATGATGAAGAAGATGAAGCCTCTGACCTTATTACTAGAAAGTCCTCTCAACTTCTTGTGTGCTCTTTGGTTGAGGAAACAAAGAGGATAGTTCAACTAATAAGTCAACTCGACCAATCTAGAGTAAAAATTCCTCTTCGTACCTCTAATCGTGGAGAGTTTGACTTCCCCTCTAAAGCCGAGAGAGAAGAATCCCTAAAGGCAGAACAAGAGCTGGAACATCATCAACAACAACTGAGAGACAGTCTAGAGCTGGCCAAAGCCCTAGATGATAAAGCTCATGTCGAAGGACAATTCAAGAAAAATGACTCAATACGTGATCAGGTGCTACTCCTAAGAGAAGCTGAAAAGAAAAATCAAAGAATGCTGACGCTGAAAGATCATGAGTTGCACTAAAGATGAACTAGTGCAGGGAAAAAATCAAGATAAGGATGAACCCTTAAAAGATTTCAAACGTCATCATCAATTAATAGATGAAGGATGGTGGTATTCTTCTCTCCATGGTCATCTTCTGAGAGAACAATGATGCCATAACGGAGTATCCCTCCTTTCTAAGAAGATACGGGTTCTATGAGTGGCTGGAGATTTGACACGAAATTCATAAGTCAAAATCAAAGCACAAGGCTTACATTGATAAAATGTTCTTAATGAGCTATTCAACAAAGTATCGAAGATCATAGAGGTTCCTCCTCTACCACTAAAGACATCTCGAAGAAGAAAGACCCCCTCTAATTCTGAAGAAGGACCATCCCACAAGAATGAGCATGAGACGAAATTCTCAATAGATGAACTCTTCAAAAATATGAAGAAGCCAGATATCTCAATGTTGAACCTAACACTGCCTACCCTTCACTCCCAACACAGTGCATGTGAAACTTGAGAATGGACTATGTTCATTACTATGACGATCAATATCTAAATTCCATATTTGCCCAATTGATCATCTGGAGTGTCTTTGAACCTGGCTAAATGAAGATCTATTTGGAGAGATAATGGAGCGTAAGATTCAAAAGGAAATGCTGAAAAGAAAGAACTAAAGAGAAGATGTCCTTGACTACATCTCCTTCAAAGATCTTGACTAAAGCTTTCAATCTTGTAATTTTTTATTTTTTTTCTTTCAGTGTATAGTCTTCTCTTCTACACTTCTCAAACCAATTGTCATCACTTCTAATATTTCATGTTGACTTAAATCAAATTTCAATATATCCTTTGGTAACTGAAAAAGATCCATGAAAATAGTAATTGGGACAAGTACTTATGAGTTTTATCTTCTCTTTCAATTGCTGACTTATCTCTTGCTAGTTAATATGCCTTCAGTGTTAAGTTATTTTTGTTATGTAAACTCATTTTCTCACTCATAATCTTTTACAAATAAATGAATTTTCATAATACTCCCTGACATTAAAAAAGATCCCAAAAATAGTAAAAGGGACATGTATCTTACAAGTTCTTTTTCCACATTATAACAAATAAGCAATTTTCTTTAATGTTGCCTTGTCATCATCAAATAGAGAGAGATTGTTGATCCAAACTCTCTCAGTTATTTGATAATGACCCTTCAAACTTAGTGAAATGTACTTGTTGTATTTCTGTTCAGTTTCAACGATCATCTATGAGTCTGTTCAGTGATCTTTGAACATGTATTGTAAACTTCTCTAAAGAACAAGTATTCCTCAAAGACAAAACTCACACCAAAAAAACCTTCAGCAATGTCGAAGATGTACTTGAAGATGGAGACAATAGTTCATGATCTGAAGAGGATTCAGTGATAACAAGCGTGTCTAAATCGAAGTATGAAATCTGACCAAGACTCAGCAAATACTGAAGAAACTTTACAGTTAAATCAGTGTTAGCGAACAAATAAATCGTGCTCTACAAGATTAGTTTTTTTCTTATCCTCTTGCACAAAAAGAACAACCCCATATCTCGCATAGAAAAACATATGTACAAAGTTACTTTAGTGTCTCCAAACTTGCTTACCTACTTTATAAAAGACAACTGTTCATATGCGGCCAAAAACCTGCATATCTAAAGACAAATGATAAGCTCTCCACTAAAATTTTGCCATGTACCTTGTACCCTTTGACTTGCATTAAATGCAATGAGTATAAATAGCCGAGAAAACTCTCTTCTCAGCGAGCACCTTCTTCTCATTCTATCTCTCTTATTTCTTGTTCTTATCTAATGTGCTATCTATATGTTTCAAAGATTGTTTAGATGAGTTCTTAAACTTATCTTCTTCCACAACAATCTATAAATTTCATATTGATTTTCTCTTATCAATAAACAAATTTAAAAAGTGAAAATTGTGTTTATATTTATCTCCCTCTACAAACTATTACCTTTAAACTCTTGTAGATCTGTTTGGGACCAACAACATCCATTAATAGTAGCAATTTATTCACATTTTCGGTTCATTAACTACATATAGCAGACCAAACATTCAATTCGTTACGAGCCCATGCTAGCCACTACCTGCGAGCTATCGCTGCAAGTCCGCCTACCAGAACCCCAATAGTAGTGGCAGCAATGCCTATGCCAATTACACCATCTGCATGTATTTAAAAATTATATGAAATTGAAATCAAGATGGGATAAAAGAATAAATGAACCAAAGAGAGACGAAATGGAAATGATCAATTCAATCAAGACGAGATGTTCCAACAATATATATATATATATATATATATATATATATATAGGGTTGGGTTTACGTGAGACCAGCCTGTTTTCGTGAGACCCGTGAGACCACATTTTTACACGTAAACTTCACAGCAAAAACACTGTGAAGGTTTTAAAAAGTCGAACCTTCACAGCAAAAACATTGTGAAGGTT